ATTTACGAAGTTGGAATCATGAAAATTATATTGGGACATGCTAAACTGTTTTTGAAACAAACAGAAAGTCGTTCAATGACATTTGATAAATTTTCTACATGCTTAGATTCAACTACTATTCGTATAGAAAATACATTAAATGGATTTGATTATGAAATTTATAAACAAAAAGTTAAAGAATGTCGTGTTCTTTTACCAATGACACACCGAACAGCACATTCAACAAGAAGCTCTAACCCCATTAATAACAATTCCAATGATATTCATATAGATATTGCAATTGGTTTGAATGATTATGACAAAAAGTTTATTAATTCTACATTGAATTCTATTAATGAACGTTTTGGACAAGATTCTCGTATTATCATGGATAATATTTCAATGTTTACAAAATTAAATGATTATAGTAATGAGGAAGTATTGAAAAATCCTTTATTAAATTTATATTTCAATGAAATGTATTATAAACGCAAAGGAGTTAATCATAAAATATATGAACGAACTGATGAACCTTTATTATGTTTTGCAAAATTGGAAAAAGAACTTCCACAAATTCGTGTTTTATTAAAAAGTGCAAATAATGAAGTTAAACGAATGCAAGAAAAGAAAACAATTAATGATGAAGTTTGTTTATTAGATATATTAAAGTTTTTATCAGTGAATGGAAATTATTTAGTACCTGAATGGTTAAAATTATATTAAATATTAACTACTTTACCTATTGGATCTAATGAATGCGAAAGAAGTTTTAGTGCATTAAAGCGAATTAAAACCAAATTACAAAATAATCTCTCATTCACAGCGTTAGAAACGGCTGTGAAGTTTAGTGTTTTAAAATCGAATGTTACTGATGATGATTTAGATGATATCGTGCAACATTTTTGTATGTATCGAGGACGAGCAAAAGCTCGTAATATCAAGATATACAAGCACGAAAATAATGGTGATGATAGTACTGATGATGAATAATAGTTAAAGTCAAATACTCTTTTCAAAGTATATTATTTTTGAAAGTATTGATATAAATATTTTTGTATATAAAAAATAGACTTGTTTTCATTTTTTTGAATTTTTTGCACAGCTTTCTATGCACAAACATAACGAAGAAAATATCGATCTATTGGATAACGCGGTTCTTGAAAGTATCATCCAGCACTATATGTTAGTGCAAAAATCGAACGTAATAAACGTTTCTCTTTCACTTCGGGAGACTTTCTCTCTTACATTTTCCCCCCTCTAAGCAAAACTAAAAGAAAACTATGCGTACGAGATTGATGATTAATATACGTTTACAAAATTTCTTATGGATCGTTGATCATAAAATATAGTGTCAATTAGTGAAGTGATTTTTCCATGAGAAGAAAACATTCTCAACAATGTGATTATTATACTTGACTTGCGTAAATGGGTGTGGAAGGTATATAAACATCCACACCCACACCCGAAAATTTTTTGAAAATGTTTTCAAAAGTTTAACCTAAAAGTCGGATT